AGAGTGCCACCTGAAAGCGTCAGAGCTACTAGATAGTATCTCGGATTAAGCAGCATAAAAGGTACAAACCTGTTAACTCTATGGCAACATTTATGTGTAACTATTACAAAAACAACGCTTGCGATTGCTTCGCAGGCTTTCATCCTACTTTTCGGTGGTACAATACTACACTAACATCTGCCGCCGGAATGTCGGCGGAGCGATCTGAGGCGGCTATACCAATTTCCCTTCTTCGATCAACCTTTTGGAGTCAGTGGCCATAAGGGCCATTTTCCAGGGAAGCTTTCGCGCTGGATTTCTGCAGAAATCCGAAAGGATGTATTAGACATTATGATAGGACCGATAGGCGAGCGCATAGTACCGACAATACAGCAGGAGCTGAAAGTCCTTATGTATTTGTGGGAGAACCTGCTGTGTGGCAAGCCCTCAACCATGATGGAGTTGTTGGGCAGATTAACGTCTACATGCAGGAAGAGTGGATATCGCCTGTCAAGGACTTAGCAGACCATTGCGGTCGTATCAAGTTAGCTGACATACACCTACGAGATCCTTAATCTCGTAGTTGATACAGTGGGAGCATCCGCTCAATACTTCGACTATCAGGATTACCTCCGGCATCTCCCCAGAAATGCCTCTCCTGGCTTGTGGCAAACATTTATGGCCTTTGACAAAATGGAAAGCAGTGGGGATATTGGATGCTGGTCTCACTACGGCCACGATGTGGGTGTGATGGGACCTGCCTACATTGCCAACTCGGACGAATTTTGTCTCGGTTGAAGAGGATGGCCGGCAGATTCATAGGGGACGTCGCGAGCAGAGCATGCGTATTACGATACACATAGCCCTGCTCTGCCCCACCCATCTAAGCTTCAAGATGACACCGTTTAGTACCGGATCTTTCACCACCCATTACGGTGGCGGAAGTAATTGCAGCACGAACACGTCCTGGTCTAGCGATGCCGACTGTGGGTGAAGCAGGAGGATCAAGTGATGGAGCTATAGGGAGACAATCGGTGGCTACTGGAGAGCCCCCACGGAATTAAGTGGTTCGAACCAGCAAACAAGCCAACAGCAGCAACTGCGACGCCAACAAACACAGCCCCCGCAGCAATCACAAGCAGCACAGATTGACACAACTCGCGACGTCCCCAACGAATCCGCCAGCCATTCTCTTCAACTGAGACAAAATTCGTCCGAGTTGGCAATGTAGGCTGGTCCCATCGAACTCACATCGTGGCCGTAGTGAGACCAGCATCCAATATCCCACATTTTGTCCATTTGAAGGCCGTAAACGTTGGCCTAAAGCCAGGAGAGGCATTTCTGGGGAAATGCCGGAGGTAGTCCTGACAATCGGAAGTACTGAGCTGACGCTCCCACTATAGCAACTACGAGATCCTTGATATGGTAATCTCGTAGGTGTAAACCTGCTAAGTTGACTCGACCGCAATCATCTGCTAGGTTCTTAATGGGCGATATCCACTCTTCCGGCATGTAGACGTTAACCTGTCCATCATCGTTGAGGGCTTGCCACACCGCAGGTTCTCCCACGAATACATAAGGACTTTCAGCTCCTGCTGTATTGTCGCTACTATGCGCTCGCCTATCGGTCCTATCATAATGTCTAATACGTCCGATCGGATTTCTGCAGAAATTCAGCGGAATACATTTCCCTGGAAAATGGCCCTTACAGTCACTGAACGTAATTCTCCAAAAGGTTCATCGAAGAAGGGAAATTGGTATAGCCGCTCCGCCGACATTCCACGGCATGGTCCATTGTGCTGTTGCGGCCGATTTTATAATTCCCTTCTATTCAAAAAAGGTTATTGATGTTTTCTAGACGGACCGCGTTAACCCGGTTCGGTCGTGGTTGTGGGGAGTCCGAAAGATGTGTTTTATTACCGTACTGCTACGAATTCTTCGCGCCACACCGTTCGTGGGTACCCCAAAAATGTAGCTGGAATTTTTCGTTTTGTTACACCAATTCGCGAGGGCTGTCAGTTTTTATGGCACATATTTGTTTACGTGAACACACATTTCGCGGGGCTCCAGGGAAGCCACAACAAGGAGCGACAGCGTCAAAGCTCCCAAACTGCTGGACAGATCGTTTACTATATGTTTACGCAGAAGAACAGAAGACAGGCCCGGTGGTGCGGCACCAAAGTCAGGTGCGGTTTACCAAACGCCCCGATACACAAACAAATAACAAATAAAGTTCTGGCTTATCTACACCATGTACACGGCGTACGACACATTCGTGCCAGACAGTTTCGCGACAAGCAAATAATTTTTCCCATAGAGCTTTTTCCACTGTGACACACTTCGTGGCCCAAAACGAAAGGTGTGGCGCGAAGAATTCGTAGCAGTACGGTATGGTGCTATGAGAGTTAAGGTGCAAATAGTGCCTATCCGTCCAGCTGTCGATTTTGGGTTGCAAACTACGGTGTTTGTTGTTGCGTAGTTGGTCCCGGAGCGGACGTCCGAGCGGTGTGTGAGTTGGGATGACACTGCCTAGGGATCCCATGCCTCGGGGTGACACAGCCTCGGGGCAGATAGAAACGCCAACCTCTCCAACATTACCTACCTACCTATTACCTTACCTACCTACCTACCTACCTGCACAGCCCTAGTACCGGGGGTACACCCCGCTTCTACGCTACCATGTACCTTAAGTCAGGATAATGGCAAGTTCCAATGATGGGTGAGACCCCTATAAGAGGAACACCTTCACCAGATATCCACTGCTCAGCAACACACCACATCCATGGCCGTGGGCCTTAAGGGGACTGCAGCCATGTTCGCATCACGCAAGGTCCTGGGGCCTGTCCTAGATGACCCTTTGCCAGACGAAGCTGCATCGGACAGGCAGCGCTGCACGGTAATGCACCTTAGCACGTATTAATAAATATGATGCGTGTGCTGTACTATACAGCAGATACTGCAAACAGCCCGGAGGACCATGCTTGTCAGTTCTAACAGGTGTTTGACTTGCTGTGCATGGTGAACCTCATGTTGACGGTGAATAAGCTCGGCAAATGTCCAAAAAAAAATCCAAAAATCCAAAAAAAAATCCAGCAGGGGCATTGGCTCGTGTAGGGGGACGTGTCCTCTGTGGATGTTATGCAATGGGGGAGGAGAATGGTGCGAACGCCACCTAACGCTTCCAACTCGTGGCTGCTGGCAGGCTACAACCACTCGAGGTCCGAGCTTTCTTGGCCATGGTGGGCTACCAGCGGACTCTAGTTCCAGGATGTAGCTAGGTAGCGCGGCGGCCATTGTCCACCCACATTGTCCACCGCTGAAAAGGCCTCCCGAGATGCTGGTCAAGCTATTCGTGCGCATTTGTAGTTGTTATGTGTGCCGTACTGTGTAACAGCTACTACAGGTACCCTGGCGGTGGGAGCCAGCTGAGGAGTAAGCAGCTTTCATGACCCTGATGGGGGGGCCTTGCAAGCCAAGGCCAATGCTGTACACTCCAGACCTCATAAAACCTTTCCTTGTCCAAGCAGATTGGTGCATCACAGCCGTCGCCGCTTGCTTGGCACATCGAGACGAGGAGTGCATGAATGCAGTAGCCCAGTTTGCAAGTAAACCATGCTAGCGAGGCATGCAGCGGCACGACAGCAGCACTGACGAAGAGGCCCATATATGTCGCCACCTGGTGGTAAACAATTTGTTTACCACCGTAGGGTTGGCACGGGTACTATACTAGAAAAGAGTACTATACTATAATAGTACTATGCATAGTACTATTTACTATGCAGGGCTCTAAACTGGTACTAGTTTACGACGCTCGTACCGCGTTCGTACATAGTAAAATAGTATAGTAAAAATAGTACTAGATAGTACTAGATTTGGGTTTGGATAGTGTCCAGTACTAGTTGGACCAAGTCGAGATCTGCAGTCAAGCTGTATTTTGAAGGGCTATAGCCGCGTCTTCGAGCTGTGCTACGTAGTTATTGATGAATAATGTCAAAGGAATCCAGTATAAAGAATGACAAGGCGATCAGAGGCTTGCAGCCTGGTCCAGACGTCCCCCCTGAAGTTCTCCGTTCTCGGAACGAGCTTTTTAACAAGCTACGTAACCAGAAGAAGAACGCCAAGACGGGTAGTCTTTGGGACAACTTCGATGTGGAGTGGTGGGGTGGTCTACCAAAGCTAGTCTGCCTGTTCTGCGATGAGCCGCTCAGCGCCGTGAACCCATCCTTTACCAACGCGCACCACATCAAGCAAGGTGCTTGCAAGGCTATCAAACAGCGTGCAGCGTCACTCAGCCAGCAACAGCAACAGAGTGGAACCAGCTCTGCTGCGGCGGGCAACGATAGATTGAGCTGCGGCAGTTTGCTGAATTGGAGGGTTACGTACTGGGCCGTTGTAGTGCAGGAACTTCACTAGTATGGCGTCCGTGTGTTGTCTTGTCAACACTGGGTCTTCTATCTGTGATTATGTCTTTATGTGCCATAACACGCCTTGAGACATGGGGTTTGGGGTCCACCTACCGGGCACTGAACTAACAAAAAGTGATCTGGATGACCACAGCGATCTGCTTTCTCATGTCTAAGTAGGTATTTAGAAAGAACAAAAGAAGACCTTTCCAATGGTGTAATTTTCAGGTACAACGGTTGGTCGTACACCCCCCTTCTACAGGGAGCGTGTACCTGCCTAGTAATAGTATCATAGTACTATATTACTATATATAGTACTATTTCTTACTATACTATACTATTTGGGAAAATAAATATAGTATTTTTGCCAACCCTAATGAATAATGTCAAAGGAATCCAGTGCTTTGTTTAAAACAAAGCACTTCCATCCCTACCTCTACCTCTACCTCTAAGGCGCCAAGTTTGTACCTGAATCTGAGTTTACGGTAGTACTTACTGTAGTACTTGCGCAGCGCCAGGGATCTACCTGCTGCACGGAAAACCAGCTAGCATGTTATTTCGCACACCAGCGGCTCCAGGCATACGATTTTTAAATTAGTGTGCGTGCGAGGCCGAGTGCTACAATTTGACCTGCCTTGGGTGCTTTGTCCCGGAGAACCAGGAGACGGCTCCTGGCACCACAGGCGGAGGACAGCAGCAGCTACAGCCAGTCGGCATGACCGCAACCTCCTGCCTCCTCCAGCGAGAGCCATCAGGCGGAAGGCATCCAGAGAGATGCACCAGGCCTGAGGTCCACATGCTGAATGACCCCGTGCAGAGCTGGCCATGGCAGCTCATGGCCAGCACAAGCAGCCTAGTAGCTACGTATACAGGCGGATTTGGTGGCTTGCTGCCGGTTTCTGCTAGTTTCTAACTACCTTCGATTCCCAACATGAGACGAGATCTGACATGTGCCGGTTATCACGTGATGCGATATGGGGCTTTTCATATACACAAAATTATGAATATTTATGGAAATGGCCAACCGGAAGGCAAGCACATGCATGCAGCAGCAGCAGCAGCAGCAGCAGCAGCAGGTGCACTGAGCAGCCGCCGGTCTCTATTTCCTTTACTTCCAGTCAGCCGCACTGCTGCACGCTGCTCTCCATCTCCTTCTTCTTTCCGGCCACCATAACTCGACGAAGGCCGGCGACGGGCGACCAAGCATCAATTCCCCCCCGCAAACCGCCACCATCACCATAACCCTCCATATTATCCCAGCACCCCGCCATTCCAAAATGCACCATGGCGTCATGTCAGGTCTGCTCGTACATAACCGTACCCGTACATACCTTAATCTCCCAACAGCACACGACCACGGGCCATATCCCAGGCCCACAAACACGAACATGAACCATCCCATCCACCGCCTGCACGCCTGCACGCTTCCATGCATGCATGCTTACTTCCGCGCCACCATATTGCAATGCTTCCCATACCGGCGACCTGACGGACCTGTCGGAAAGCACGCGGCACCACCACCTGGCCAAGCAGCTTTGTATGCACGTGCAGCACCGCCCAGATCTGCAGACCCAAATGGCCATCAGACCCAAAACCAGACCGACATACAGGCACATACGCGGTCTGCCCGCCAGTCCACACATCAGTTCGCCGTACGCCGTATAGCCCATCGCCTTTCGATTACTCCGGGGATGTGTACGGACACAAACCAGCGATCAGCATGTATGTGTACGGGCCTTGTACGTCCGAGTACTTTTCCGTACGTATGCTCGTGCACCTGTAGATGCTGTACACTCTGGACGATTTGCGGATCCCTGAATGCCATCGCGTGTGGTGATTTGATTGGTAACGAGCGTCACGAGAGTGCATGGTTGTCCGACATGGTACGGAAACATGCAGAAAATGAACCATACAGGTGCTGATGACTGCAGACGCGCATGAAACAGATTGTCACCCCCGTCTTCCCCTCGTGTCCCGGCCTTTCCCTCCTCTCCCACCCTTGCTCCCACCTTATACGAAACACCCGCCCGCCCTCCGTCAACTCCCCCATCCATCCATTACTCCTTCATTTAACGCGCCTCGAGCCGCTACCCCACCGCATGCATGCGCCGCACATCCCCCACTTCCACTCCCTGCCCCGCCCTTGAGCACCTTACCTCCAGATCCCTTTCCCCTAAATTCATATCCCACCATCACCCATTCCATTACCAATGCCAAACCACCACCCTTCCCAATCCCCACCCCGACATGCCGCCGTAACTGCCGAATTGTGATGCGGCACACAGAGGTTGATTGGATGCGGTACAGGATGCGGTACGGTGCGGTGCTGGGCGGTACGGTACGGGTACAGGGCGGTACGGTACAGGGCGGTGCGGTATAGAGCGGTACGGGTACAGGGCGGTACGGTACAGGGCGGTACGGTACAGAGCGGTACGGTGCGTGCGGGTTGCAGGCGCCAAGAGCCAAATCCAACACAACACCCCCGCGGCCCCATCCACCGCCCTCGGCCCGCTCTTGCTGCCCCGCTCCCCCACTCGCTGGCAATTTACTGGGGAGGCAGGTACCTGCGTAAAGCATCATCCATCCATCACCGTATGCATGTGGGCCTGTGCGCATGTATACATGTATGTTTGCCCGTCTATGTGGGGGAATGTGAGTGTAGTTGGGGGCCAGGGGGAGTTGTTGGAGCCTTGAAAAGGGGTGGCGGTAGAGGCGGTGGTGGTGGTGGTGGTGGTGGTGGGAGGTAGAACAGGGGAGAGGTATTAGAGTGTAGAGCGGTGGTGGTATGTTCGGGAGGTGTCTGTGTCGTACATGGATGTGGCCTTGCCTTCACCGGCGCCTTCTGGCCATGCATCGCAAGCACACACACCGAATAGGTTGGCCGTTGGACAAAGGTAGTTGGGGTTGTTGAGATTGTTGGACAGGGATTGTTGGAGACATGTTTGTTGGACCGAGAGTTGGTGCTCTTCACGGTTGAAATCTCTTCGCAGGAAACACGGCGGTTGGCACTGGCTGCTTTCGCCGTAACGGCGCGGTGCTTAAATTCGCACTTATTAATCCGGGCGACCGAGGAGGGGTCAGGGAAGTGGACGGAGAGATATACAGAGGTTTACGCATCGGTCTCTTTAGCACCACTCCCTGTCGATCCTCCAATTCCGGTTGGAAACGGTTAAACGGAAACGAAAACGGAAACGGAAACGGAACAACGCACGAAAGAGCCCCCGGGAGGGGGTTGCACGACGGGGGAGGCAGGCAGCACAAGGTCAGCAGCAGCAGCAATAGCAGCAACAACAGCAGTAGCAGCAGCAGCAGCAGCAACAACAGCAGTAGCAGCAGCAGCAACAACAGCAGTAGCAGCAGCAGCAGAATCTCTGACGGAGGGAGGAAATGCCACATGCAACACAGCGATACACACACACTTGGTGGTCTTACTAATACTCACTCGTAACAAGGTACACGTGTTTGCGCTGTTGGGGCGCGGGCAACCTAGGCACACCCACATCGTCTGTCGGCCCCCCTGGCGCTGCAATAACAATGCAGCGCCGACAAAAGCACACAGCCACTTCACACCGTGCATATACTGTGACAAAATCTATCCCTGCTATCTGTGTTTCCTCCGTCTTGTCGCAGCAGCAAACTGCGCCAACAGTACACACACAAACACACACAGCGTCTCCCCAGAAGCACACCGCATAAGGCTTTTCCTCCCACCAGGACAGCCTATCCGCCCACTCATCGCCCAGAGCGCGCACCCACACCACTACGAACGCCATCAACGTCCTGACGGTCCTGCAGCGGTGTTTGCAGTTTTGCTCTACGTACAGTACTGTGCTGTGCTGCGCCCTCCCTGGCACGCACGTGTGTGTGCGTTAACAAACGCAAAGAGGAAAGCGAGAGCCGCGCGGCCGCATGCCGCAAGAGAGATATGCTGTGGGCTGTTTGCTGTGGGCTGTGGTAGAGCCGTTAAATCCTTCTACCTTGCCATGCACCGCCGGCCCCACCCCGGGGGTGCTGATTCCAAGGACCCCAACACCCCCCCCGGCCCGGGGACGCTATCCCGGGGTCCGTCCTCGGGGTTGGGGACCCCGCGTACCGCAGACTTAACTCAAGGTCCGTACTCCGTACTCCGTACTCCGTACTCACCTGTCCGGGGGATCCACGGTGCAGCTGAAGGCGATGTAGTTGACGAACTCGGGTTTGTCCTCGTGCCGGAACTTGGCCACCAGCAGCATAACCTCGGGGTCCGAAACCACCCAGTCCAACTTGGTGGTCAGGACCTACGGAAAGAGGGGGAGCGGGGAGGGGGGCTATTGCCGGTGCAGGTGCAGGTGCAGGTGTGGAACTAGACCGGAAGAAAAGAGGAAGGCTTAAGGATTTGGAGGCTGCAGCTAAACGGCTGAAAAAGACGTGTTGATGGATTGTCCCAATCTGCATGTCCCAATCTGCACAGTCCCTGAGGGCCCGGAGGTAGATCCGAGGGCTCCAGGTAGATATTCCTGTATCCCACCATCACCACCACCACCGCCACCACCACCACCACCGCCACCGCCACCAAGGTGGGAGGTTGGAAGTGGCCCAACCAGGGATTGTAGGTCATAAGGGTGGTTGTTCCAGGTCAAGGTCGTACAAGTCCTTACTGCCGTACACCCCTACACAATAATACAATGGAAGGAAATCTCGATGTGCAGCATCTGGAGAGGACGACCCCGCTCCGACCCCGTGCTGCAGTGCGGATGGGGTTCAGCCGAGATAGTCTCCAGACGCTGCACATCGACATTTCCCCAGATTGCATTATTGTAGGGTTTCCCGGGTATCACGTGTGGCCCGAACACCGACGCCGGGAGTCAAACTGGGGTTCTTCTTACAACCCCATTTCCGCCTTCAGCTCTTCCCCCCAACCCCATCCGTGGAGAACCGAAACCCACAGCCGTCACCTGCCGCCGGAGGACCCCCGAAGGTGTTCGACTACTGCTGCCCTCACCCGCCTGCACCCAATCCCACCGGCACGGCACGGCACGGCACAGTACTACGACAGACGTACGGCACCTCGCCGACCCCTCGCTCCCCTCGCTCCCCTCCCGCCCACCCCGGTCGCCCCCCTCCCCCCCCTTGGCACTGACTCGCCCTTTCCGCAACCAGCAGCGCCCCCAGCACCCTTCTCACGCACGATCCTTCTGAACTCCTAGGGCGTGTAGCCAGTAATCCCATGGTCCAGTTTCCCTGGGCCCGCTTCGTGTGTATATCTAAGTATTCGATGGATATCGGCGACCTGGCGTACCTGCCGGAATTGCGGCACTGTCACGTGGCCAAACAGCTTAGCTGAGTGGTCGTCTTGGGCAGCGTCGTCAAAGAACGCCTGAGAAAGGGTGTAGCGGACCGGGATCCGGGATTGATCCAAGAAAGGATAAAGATGTCCCCCGGGGGACAAAGGAAAGACAAAACACCGAATCCCAACGTTTTTGTAACACAGCAAAGGCGTAACCCGGGATGCTCAGATTGGCATTTGCGTCGTTACAGTTTCCAGCAAGCCCCAACATGACCACCAGATGTGCGCTACACCACCACCACCACACAGCACGTGCGGCTTCCTGCTCTCGCCCATTCACCCCTAGACGCCAGCAGGCTGCATGCCGGTCAACCTCACCTTGCCTGACGCCTGACGCGATGAACCTGACTTCACAGCCATCACACCTGACAACCATCACATCCCTCTGCGGCCGGGCTTACCCTTATATAACTTGCCATTCTTCACGCTCAAGTCTGACCAGCACAATATGTCGCGTTGCTTTCTCCTTGGACACTTCCTCCTCCTCTCTGTCCTTCTCTCCTTCAATCTTATCCCCCCAACCCCCCCCCCCGATTTTCCATTCTACAATTTCCCATCTCCCCCTCCCGCTTCCGTCCCTCCCCCCTTCGCTGGGGCCCCCCATTTTCTCCCCCCCCCCCCCGCTCTGTGACGCCCACCTTGACAGGCTGTCCCCTCTTGAGCGTGGTCTCGCTGAGGCGGTCCAGCAGCGCCATGACCTTGGCCTCGTCATCTGGGTTGGGCAGGATGCGCGAGGACTTGAGGTAGCGGGTGCGGTCCAGGAGCTCGGAGGGCTCGGGGGGAACGTTGGTGAGGGGGTCCTTCTCCAAGTACTGTAAGGGCGGGCGCGTGGTTTGGAGGGGCGCAGGGGGACGAAGGTGGGAAAAGGGGTCAGGGAAGGCCAGGAAGGTAGCGAGAATGGTAGTAGGGTGAGCTCTTTTCCACGGAGTAAAGAGAAGGTTGGAGAGGAGGGGATCGAAGGGGAGGGGGAAAGGAGAGGGGGAGGCGGAGGGAGGGAGCTCACCGGTATCGTGAACACGAGCTCGACGTCGTGGATGAAGGACCGCGTGTCCACCATGACCAGAGTGGCATCCCGTTGCACTTTGTAATGTTCACAGATAAGCTCAATCTCCTTCGCGCTGAGGTACCGGTCGATGCCAGCCATGCTGCGGTGTGGGTCAACCCAAAATGATTGAGTTTATCTTTCTTATATGGAATGAATTAATCTGTCCGAAACTGGGTGCATTCCAAGAAATCGGTTGCACAACCCCAAGGCCGAGAATGTGAAAGTGTTGGAAGCGGATTACCATGTGCATAGCCAAGCTCCTAGTTGTATTACTCACCTCAGCGCGCTGAGGAAGTGATTTGGAAATACATAACCGGAGTTTAGTTTGTCGAAGTCCATCAGAAACTCTTTCACACGGATGCGATTCTTGAAGACGTGTTGCTTAAGACGACGCATCGCGCTGTCTAGGGATACGTCCTGAGTCATTTTTGTACAAAATCCCTATGCAAGATGCGGCGTTGCAGGTATAGACGACGCTGCTGCAAAAAAACGTTTGGATAATTGAGTACTACGTTGCGGAATTAGAGGTATTTAATGTTCACATCCAATTTGATTATAGTATGCAAAGTTTGCACGTTTGGTAAAAACTTAGAAACGTGTACGGATGAGCGGCGAGCCAAAAGAAATTTCCGCCATGCCCTCCGCTTATAACACAGCCACAATTTTAACCTTGTAAAGAATAAACATATACGCATTTCTTGTTTGATAAATTGCGTGACCTTGCCGTGCCCAGGTGCTCCGATGCACGCAGTGCCAATGGCACCAGCACAAGTTGTGACCATGGAACCTTTAATGAGATTTGCACATTCTAGGTGGAAGCCCTACGGCGGCCTTGTGCGACTTGTTCCCACGAACCAGGGACAGCCTGCCTCGTGGCTGTCTGCCTCGTGGCTCGTGACAAGTGGCAAACCGCTCATCCAAAGTCCCTAGACCCAACAAGCCAGCAACGTCAGCAATCCTTTAGCCGAAAATCATACAACGGATGAGCGGGCTGCTCCCCACATCATCTCATTACGCGCGGTATTCCGCTGCCAGCTGTTGCTACATTCATGGCTGCACCTCCGCCCTTCCCCCTCGCCTTCATAATCTCTGCTCTGTTACAGCACAAAGGCACCACCACACTTACCTGACTCCTATGCTTACAGCCGTCGCTATTAGACAAAAGCTCTGATAACTGCTGATACGGAAGATTTGTACGACGATGGGCAAGGACGAGCCAGGCTTTCAGGAAAACTTCCCGGGAAATGAATTCCGTTGCGCTCAAATCCTAGGATCGGCTGTCCTCCGCGTCCTCTGATTTTCCTTGATCACGTCCATGTCAACTGCAAGATACCTACCTTCTCATCGACCGCAATTCTGTGCGCGCGCCTAACAAAATTCCGCGGCATAGGCTGCTGGCGGCTGCTGCTTTCCTCGCGTCCCTCTGCAACCCCCTCCCCCGTCAACTCCAGTCGCACTGCACACTTCCAAGCGACGCCGCCATCCGCCCAGTTAATCATGGCCAGCCAAGCAAATTTCCAAGTACTTTTCAGTGCTTGCATTCAGCGCGCGGCAGATAGTTTAGTTAAGTTACAGATAGTTTAGTTAAGTTACAAAGCAATCAGCGCGGGGGTGTAACCGACCTGGAAATAGCCCCCAGGGGCCGGATCGAAAATACCGACCACCCTAACCATGCCCACCACGTCATCCACCGCCAGCAGTTCCACGACCACGCCGCCGCACTTGCTTCGACTTCACCGCACCCGCACCTCCTAGTGCGACCCTTCCTTTGCCAACACGACCAGGCTTGCCGTACACACATTTGCAAGAGATTTGCCGAACTGGCAAGTGCCAGTCATAGCAGCTCTTGGAGGTACTCACTCTTGGCAATACTAGTAGCAGCCGCAGCCGCAGCAGCGGTAGGACCACGGTGTCTCCTCACGTTGATTGCATGACCAGTTCATGCGGACACAGACAATGAGAAACGAGCGGGGAGGGCGTGTGTGTGGCCACGTCAGCATGCGATGTGTTTACTACCGTGTCGTAGCATATCAAGCGCGAAATTACACCTCTACAGTACGACACAGTACGGCAGATATGTACAGTACAGCATGGGGTACATCGATGGCCCACGAGGGGGAAGCCGTAATGCCGTACACTTACAAGAGGTAATTTCCTCTGATGGCCGCCGCATCCTGAGGGCAATACCCCTCACCAAGCCAAGGCCGAGGAAGGCGCGCCAAGAGAAAACATGGGATAAAGAAGGTCGGTTACGGATCGCATACGACCTAAGGAAAGCAATGCCGCGCCGACATGGCCCAGGCGACATGCACATACGGACGGACACACACCCCACAGCAGAGCAATATCATGTTTGGCAGGCGGCCGGGTAGGATGAGGTGGGGGCAGGTTATCATTATTTTCATTGTTTTGGAGCAAATGATACTTGAAGCTAGCTATGAAAGGCTACGGCTGCCCTCAACGCTCTTTCCTATCCTGTGCGCCGCTGCAGGGTGGTCTCCACTCCGCAAGTCTGCAGGCGCTATCATCGGAGGTTCGCCTGGCTTGATGCGGTTGGGGGACATGGCCTGGCTTGATGCAATTACGGGGCATGGCCTGGCTTGATGCAATTACGGGGCATGGCCTGGCTTGATGCAATTACGGGGCATGGCCTGGCTTGATGCAATTACGGGGCATGGCCTGGCTTGATGCAATTACGGGGCATGGCCTGGCTTGATGCAATTACGGGGCATGGCCTGGCTTGATGCAATTACGGGGCATGGCCTGGCTTGATGCAATTACGGGGCATGGCCTGGCTTGATGCAATTACGGGGCATGGCCTGGCTTGATGCAATTACGGGGCATGGCCTGGCTTGATGCAATTACGGGGCATGGCCTGGCTTGATGCAATTACGGGGCATGGCCTGGCTTGATGCAATTACGGGGCATGGCCTGGCTTGATGCAATTACGGGGCATGGCCTGGCTTGATGCAATTACGGGGCATGGCCTGGCTTGATGCAATTACGGGGCATGGCCTGACACGATGCGGCTAAAATTTAGTATTACTGTTTATTACGTTCTGTGGGTGTTCCTAGTTTCCCGGATTACCGTACAGAAAGGAAAGGATTTGCTTTTTCTGAGTTTGTGTGTTCCGTAGTGTGCATGTATGTGTGTTGGGTAATGCGTGCATGTCTGTTTGTGTGTTTTCATTCACGTGAAGCAGGTGGTATCGATGTTCTTTCTGTCTCGCGTAAAGTGATGCAAACTTGATGCGCCTTTGCAGCTGTACTGCTGTCGGAAATCCTTGCTGTCGCATTTTCGCTGTCACCACTACCCCCTTGCGATTGGCTTATCACCATCACCTTCTAACCGTCGGCCTCTCGCTGTTGGCTTTTTTCAACGTCGCCATCGCCGTCCTACCGTCATAACCACGAGCGGCCAGGCTTGCAATGTACGAATCGGAGGAGCCCGTGCCAATTATCCAGCGATTTCTGTTAGTGGCATCGGTACAAGATAAAGTTTCATTATGTGATGCTACATTATTTGCTCCCACCACGCATTTCGCGTTTATTCGCTCCTACCACGCACTCGCGTTTGTTGGCGATGTGAATGACACCGCTCGTTGGGGTCTGGGAGGCGCGCCGCGCAAGGCTGCGTGCCTGTATGTCTGTCTTTATCTGATGACTGGAAGGCGGTGGGGCTCAGCCCCGCAGGGCGGCGTTGAGGCAGACAGAATCCTATTGCGCTGCGCTACCATATCACATCATGTAAGGAAAGGCCGAGTCGGGCAGGGTTTTGGTTGGAGGAGGTCGCAAGGTCTGAGAAGACAGCCGGCTAGCAGGTTTATTTATCAAACTGAACCCTTTCACACCCCGGGCGCGTTATCGCTAGCCGCCTAATGAGCACAGCCCTCTTCGCCTCCCTCGTAGCCTTTGCACTGGTATCACAGATGCCGCTCTTTTTCCCTTGCCCTCTACTTGCCTTGTACGGCGATCATCACATGTGCCACCGCACGCATGCCATACATTCAGTTTTAGGGAGGGATCACTCCGCAACACGACTTGTTCACTTGTCTCGTCTTCCTTTCCCTGTTTCTAAACCCTTCATGCAACACGCCATCTTCCTCCACTTGCTTCCACACCACTATCACACCCACACCCACACCCACACCCACTACCATAATAACACTATACACCGCTGCCCCCTCCGCTCCAAGTTAGCGCATCCTCCTCTTCACCTTCCTCACCACCTTCCTGACATATCACCTCGCACTGTGCTGTACTTCGTTCGGTAGGCTAGGCAGTCCGGTAGGTTAGTTTGGTTCCTCTAGTAGGACAGCAGCTCTCTAACATTATCTGTAACATAAGCCACGCGGTTAAAGTGCTCGGTCACGTCACGCGACTCCTCTTTCCTCCAAGCCAAGCCAAGCCAAGCCAAGCCAAGCCAAGCCAAGCAGTAGAGCAGTAAGAGTCAGCCATCAGGTCGTTTCCTCCAACCGCCGCAGCAGCGCTCCGCTGCCGTACACCTCACCATGACGCATCATCTCCCAAGCCGCCGACAGGTCATCAGGACGCCATCGGCGATAGCGCCGCCAGCCCGCCGCCAGTGCATCGTCGTCCGAGGGCTGGATGAGAACAGTTTTTCCCACCAACCTTGTCGCCGCCGCGGCGGACACATTGAGCTGCCGTACAAAACCTCGACAGAGGTCCGTCCCGTGCCCTGGCGCCGCCGCCGTCGCCAAAGACGGTGGCGGCGGTGCGGCCGCAGCAGCCGCCGCCGCCGCCGCTTTTGGAACGCCGCCGGGCCGCGCCGCCGTGGCCGCGAAAACGCCATCAGGTTGCCGCCTGCTCATGCCGTACCACTGAACCCAGCCAAGCTGTTGACGCTGCTGCTGTCCATCAGGGAGAGCATGGGTTGCTTGCGTCCCTGAAACGCTGGTCTTGCCGTACAACGACTCGTCGGCGCAGTACGTTGCATCGTAGTTCTGAGCTCTGCCGCCGGAGAGGCCGTCGGGGCTGTAGCAATTGAAGCTGTAGCAATTGGTCGCAGGGACTAGTACTGCGCCGCCGTCGCTGCCGCTGGCGGAGGTCTGCTCCTGCGCCAGCGGCGGCAGTGGCTCTGTACGGCCGCTAGAGACCCCTCTGTACGGCTTGTCGCAACGATGCCACCACCACCAGAACCCCCCGTCAATCACTGGGCGCTGGCGGCACACTGCATACCTGTCGGGACAGCACGCATACCGTACATGCCGTACACAACATGGAATCACCATACCACCTTTCTCCCTGCATCACATCTTAACTTGTTTTGTCCGGCAATGCAGACAACAAATCGCAGACAACACAATCTATCCTAGAGGACCGCATGTGTCACTGCCATCAGGGCCTTATCATTAATTCTTCCACTACCCACCACCCGCGGATCCTTTGGGGAGGGAAGAAACGATTTGGAGCGGTGGGAGCGAGATGAAGCAATTCGAGGACGGAGATTTCGGCCGCGGCACTAATGCCGCTGCGGTTCTGGGTACTACTGGGTTCATATTGTAATTTTGGGATCCTCTTGCTGTCCAGCGCTAGCGTGGGGGCAGCCGCTGGTGAGGTGTGCTGCTGGGGCCTCCCCCCCCCACGACTTGCACCCATGGGCCGGTGGGGGGGGGAGGGGCGGCCCCAGCAGCAGCAGGCTTTCTGGCAGGGTGTCGCGAGCATCACCATGAGTGTCATCAAAGGACCCCTGGAAGCGGTAAGTGCCTTCAACTTTATGAATGAATCTTTGTTCCCCTCATAGTCTATGGCAGCCTGAAGGCTCCATAACCATAACCATAACCATAACTATAACTATAACTATAACACTATAACAATAACTATAACTATAACTATAACTATATCTGCATATCTCTACATCTGTATCTATATACCAACCCTATAATATATCAACCCTATAATATATCAACCCTATAATCTTAGCATATATAAAACCCTAACAGTATATGTATAACCCTGATTTGACTGCAGTCGCAGACGACAGTACCGAACGTGACCGACACGTGACAGTGTAAGCGCTAGCGCTCGTTTGGGATGCCGCGGGTCGTTTCCCCCATCCCACCCCAGCCCACCCCACCCCAGTGCAGGTTCCAGCACTACTCCCTGCTCACCAGTTTCCGTCTAGCAGTAGCGGCAGGTGTGCTGAGGCCATCACGACATCAACCACGTCCTGGATTGGGTGGGTGCGAGAGGGGGGAGAGAAAGAGTGAGCGTGCATGCATGCATGCATGCATGCATGTATGTATGTATGACTTAGATTACACTGTGGGCCGCGAGAGCCGGGGGCCGAAGCCGAAACACAGCGCAAGGGTCGGGAGCACACAGCACAAGTCGGTTAGTCTTGTGTGCTCCCGACCCCGACTCAGACTGCCAACACTCTACGCATGTATGTATGTATGTATCCATACATACGGACCTGTTTGGACTCGAAGTTGGTGATGTGGGTGGTGGTCAGCAGCGGCAGCTGGGTCACCAGTACGGTGGAGCGCCGGGAGAGCAGCTCTCCTAACCAGGGAGGGTTCACATGGGGTGTCGTACACAAACCACCACAACCGTCACAGAAGTGAAGACCCAAGCCAACGGGGGGAAACAGCGCCAGAAGTGGGGGGGGAGGGGGAGGGGGCATGGAGGGGGAAGTGACGTGATGACGGAAAAAAAGAGTGACGAGATTTATAGATGTGATGCAATGGGCCAGCATAT